TGGGTGGTGTGTGCTCTCGCAGGGGGTGGGGATCTTATGGAAATTCCTGAAATCCAACCAAGACCGACGCATATCGAAGGGAACACACCCCCCAGCCATTATAAACATATACTTTGTATCATTTTAAGTCCCATGTTTGCTAATTGTCCACTCTTGAAGTTACATGCAAAGTAAGAGCTAGGCAACAGAAATGCCAGATTTGGGACCAGGAGATTAAGACTGCAAACCCTTTCCCTGGTAGACCTTATGGAATTAATTCTGATGTCGATATCAATAATATCAAGTTTAAAGCTGTGGTTTCTAGTTGCTGTTATTTTACTTATTTTTGGAAACAGGTTTAATATATCCACCCCACCATTTCATGGGTGCATGAAGAATATCAAAACTTCATTTGAACGTTCTATAACCTTCTCTGAGAGTTTCGGTGTCAGCAGAAAATGCCCTGATGACTGGCAGGTAAATCACCACCACTTCTTTTATTATTGGGTTATTACTCCATAATGTTCACAATTATTTAATCATAATTCCTCTTCGTTCACCTCTAAAATATTCCTAAAACAGGACTTGCAGATCTTCCTTGCAATGGGATTTACAACCCTATGTGATCCTGAAATGTAGAAATCTCACCATATGAGAGATCTATTAATCCTATTATAAATAATAGAGAAGCAAGGAAAATGAAGATCACTCACTTTTTTAAAAAAATAAAGAGTGTTCATGACCTGCTTGTATTTTTTAGCTGGTGAGAACTGCAACTTTTTTCAAGAATGGAGTTCTTGACTTAAGTGATGAACATTTTCCATTTCCTGATCATTTCCAAATTGGATTTGGATTTCGTACAATGGCACTTAATGGAATGCTATTAAGTTATAATTTACAGGTAAGAAAGATAAATGATCTTTTGTTCCCTTTTAAAATACAGTCAAATTGCTTTCCCACAAAATCCAAAGTTTCAATATTCTAAAAAAATAAAATAAAAATGTGTTTCTTTTTCCATCTTTTAGCCTGCTGTTTTTAACGTTCTCCTAAGAAATGGCTATGTAATTGTAAACCTGGCTGATGAAGAAATCCAGTCTAGCAAAAAATGTGAAAGTGGTTCACTGCATTACATAACAGTAATAAAAGAAGATGATATGTATGTTCAAATGATTATTGTACTTAGTAAAGCTTTGGTAGATAAAATATAATTCTGTTTGATTTGTTGCTTGGTTATGGAGGTTGTGAATGTTTAAACTGCATTAGAAGTAATACTGTCAATGGATGTGGATCCTGAGAATGATCACAGAGGCATTCTTGAATATGACAGCATTATCAGTAACAAAATATAAAACTACTGTGGTTGGGAGGTGGTGATTAGCTTCTAGAGCCAAATTACATAGTATTTTTATGATGTGGTATACAATAGGACTTTTGGAAACAACTGCTAAAAGGGGATATACAATTGATCTAATTAAATAATTGTATTATTTAGATGTCTTAATAGTTTTGCCATGAGAATTTCACTCTTATTTGCATTTTTTTCCTTCTAGGCTGAAGTTATTACTAGATGATATGCCTAACTCAAAAACAGTTGGAATCCCTGAAGGCAAATCACTGAATCGACCAATAAAACTGGGTGGGAAGGATTTTGAAGGTTGTATATCCAATGTCTTTATAGAAAGGTAAATATATTATGCAATTATAGTTTATATATGGAATGTGTTTATTAGAGCAGACTATGGAATATTCCAACATGACTTTTAAAAATATTCTTATGGTGTTTTTAATGACCAAACAGAATTATAATAGCATGCAATACTGTAAGAAAACAAAGCTATATTATGCAGAGTGTCAGTCATCCTTACTTTTTGTCAGTTGTATTGCTTCTATTTTCCTCATTGTTTCATAACCTCCAGGATAGATGATCCAGGAGTAAGTGTATAATATACATAGAACATGTGACTTGTGCTGCATCACCTCATCAAGTTCTCCAGAACATGTGGATTTACAACTATGATTAGTAAATCCCTCTGCCTATTTCTCTCATATAAGGCTACAACCTTTCACTTGCTGTAAACTTGTGTGTAACTTATCTATCTTACAATATGCAAATCATTACAAGAGAGGATGAACTTCGTGAAAGAGCAGTTAAGGCTTTAGAAAACTTATTTCTCTAAGAAAACAGTTGAAATACACTACTATTTAGCTAGATTTTACCTTTGAGTGCTTTGTATTCTGTATATCAGCTGACACATTAGTAGGTGGCATTTTTATTGGCACAATTTGTACAAAATAGATTCATCTTCAGAATAGCTATATCCAAAATAAGTATCCCTAATATAAGAGCTAATATCTTTGAAACTATCAAGTGTAAAATCTGTCTGATTTTTTCAAATGCAGACAAGACATTTGCTAGGACATATACTTTTGGAGGTGTATAATGACTTTTTTAAGGATGGTAAACTGTTATTATTGTTTTACAAGGTATATATAAGGTTGATTTTAAAACCAGGTAAAATCCTAAATTTTGTGCTAGTTATAGGCCTATTTCTTTAATTAATGTGGCTACTAAGATCTTAACTACTACATTGGGTAGACCTTTGCAGAAGTTTTTACCACATATTGGTAAAACTAGTTGGGGTTTATCAAAAATTGTCAGGCATCAGACAATTTACATTTATTAATTGATATATTGGATAAAGCCAAAGATAGAATGGACTCTGCTGTACTACTATCTTTAGATGCAGAAAAAGCCTTTTATTTGTTTTGGATTAAAATTTTAAAGCAAGCAATGATATTGCTTTCTGTGGGACTTTGTTCAACGGATTGAGATTTATTATTTGCAAACCTGTGCTAGAGTTATAACAAATTCAATAATTTTTTACTCGTTTGGGTTACAATGTGGCACTTGGCAGGGTTGCCTATTTTCACCCTAGCTATTTAATTTGAACCTTGAACCTTTGGCCACCAATGTAAGCAATCTGTAGACATTAAGGGTATTACTTTGCTAGGGTGCAAATATAAATTACTTTTAGATACTGCTTATATTTTGGCAATTTTGGATTAATAATCCACCTCTCTAGCTAATCTTATAAAGGTAGTACAGTATTTTGGAAAGTATTTTGGCTATAAAATTAATTGGGATAAATCTCTCTTACTTCCCTTGGACTCTAATATATCAACCCAGCTATATAAAGAACTGGGTTTTGTAACCTCCATTGATCATATTAAATATTTGAGATTTTATATTCCTCAAAATATTTCTGAATATGAGGAAATAAATATGCGGAAACTTTTAGAAAAGATTGAATTGGATGTAAATAAAAGGATTAAAATTCCCTTAAGCTTCTGGGGGGTAAAATTAACGTTATTTAAATGGATACCGTTCCTCACTTGATTTATGTCCTTAGGAGTATTCTTGTGTTAATACCAAATACTGTAAATATTTCGTTCAGATTGATAGGTTACTTAGGAAATTTATTTGGGATAGTGAACCACCAAGGTTTTCTTTAGCTAAATTGAGTTTATCTTTTGAGGAAAGTGGCTTTAATTTATCTGATTTGCAAAAATATAATTTGGCTTGTATTTTATCACCTATTAGTATATGGAATGCAAATATAGTGGAATATTACCCTTTATAGGCTATGCTTGAAAGTTATTGTCTATTTCCCTTGTGTTCATGGTAAGTTCTTGGAACAACATATAATAGAAAAGGTGTTTTATTTCCAGGAGTGTGGGTAGTGAGAAATCTCTGGGCCATATTGAAGCGTAGGTTAGGTTTTGATCATGAGATTCATCAATATTTAACGCTTTGGAAAAATTCTATTCTGAAAATAGGTGTAAAACATTTTATTGGAAAATTTGGGCGGAAGCCAGGAACGTGACTTTAAACCAATTATTACGTAATGATTGGTTGAAGGATTTCTTCTAACTTCAAATTGAATTTAGTTTTCCTTATTTACAACAATGGCAGTGTTTTTGACTTAAACATGTTTTAACAAATCATTATGGGCCAGATGCTTTGACTGCTTCAGAGGCACCTAAGATGCTATATTATTTGATGGAATCCATGACACAAGTAAAACTCATAACATATCTCTGTCAAAATCTCAATAATATTTTTAAAGTGGACATTTCTTGGATATTCCAAACACAGACTAAAGAACTAACATCTCTGATAATGCCCTATCAATGGTTTAACATTCTTAAAAATGTTAAAATGTTATTAACGGATTTGAGATTAAAGTTGATTCATTAAAATTTGTATATTAGACTCCCCAAAGAATGTACTTAAAAGGATGGACATCAGATTTTCTTTTTGGAGGTGTAAAAAAATTGAGGGTTCATTGACCCATTTGATATGGTCCTGTTATCATTTAGTACTTTTTTGGAATGGTATTTTAATATAAATATGAGTAGATTTGTGGGAAAGTTTTAAACGTTAAAGATGTTAATGTGATGTACTAAAGCTTGGAATCTGTTTATCAGGAATTATGATTGTATTGTGTATAAGGGGTGGCTAAAAGAATTATACTGAGAAATTGAAAAGTGATATTATTCCAGATGTTAAGGAATTGCTTTTGGAAATGTGTCACTGATTTGTCCTGCACAAAGCAATATTCTCCGCTGACCAAAGAATGAAGCAAAATGTACTATTTTGGCAGAGATTTTCTGATATTTTACAATACTAGTTTGTATTTGGTTATACAGTGGTACCTCTAGTTACGAACGCCCCTCCTTACGAATTTTTCGAGATACGACCA